TAAAGATAGAGTGTTTAATGTGCCGAAATGAAATGAAGAGGCAGACATATAGAACAGTCAGTCAGCAGTCGTATACCGTGCAAGTTCTGCGAACTTCGTGTGTCTGCCGTCATGAAAGTTTATATATACATAGAGAGAGGAGAGAGAGAGAGAGAGAGAGAGAGAGAGAGAGAGAGAGAGAGAGAGAGAGAGAGAGAGAGAGAGAGAGAGAGAGAGAGAGAGAGAGAGAGAGAGAGAGAGAGAGAGAGAGAGAGAGAGAGAGAGAGAGAGAGAGAGAGAGAGAGAGAGAGAGAGAGAGAGAGAGAGAGAGAGAGAGAGAGAGAGAGAGAGAGAGAGAGAGAGAGAGAGAGAGAGAGAGAGAGAGAGAGAGAGAGAGGAGAGAGAGAGAGAGAGAGAGAGAGAGAGAGAGAGAGAGAGAGAGAGAGAGAGAGAGAGAGAGAGAGAGAGAGAGAGAGAGAGAGAGAGAGAGAGAGAGAGAGAGAGAGAGAGAGAGAGAGAGAGAGAGAGAGAGAGAGAGAGAGAGAGAGAGAGAGAGAGAGAGAGAGAGAGAGAGAGAGAGAGAGAGAGAGAGAGAGAGAGAGAGAGAGAGAGAGAGAGAGAGAGAGAGAGAGAGAGAGAGAGAGAGAGAGAGAGAGAGAGAGAGAGAGAGAGAGAGAGAGAGAGAGAGAGAGAGAGAGAGAGAGAGAGAGAGAGAGAGAGAGAGAGAGAGAGAGAGAGAGAGAGAGAGAGAGAGAGAGAGAGAGAGAGAGAGAGAGAGAGAGAGAGAGAGAGAGAGAGAGAGAGAGAGAGAGAGAGAGAGAGAGAGAGAGAGAGAGAGAGAGAGAGAGAGGAGAGAGAGAGAGAGAGAGAGAGAGAGAGAGAGAGAGAGAGAGAGAGAGAGAGAGAGAGAGAGAGAGAGAGAGAGAGAGAGGAGAGAGGAGAGAGAGAGAGAGAGAGAGAGAAGAGAGAGAGAGAGAGAGAGAGAGAGAGAGAGAGAGAGAGAGAGAGAGAGAGAGAGGAGAGAGAGAGAGAGAGAGGAGAGAGAGAGAGAGAGAGAGAGAGAGAGAGAGAGAGAGAGAGAGAGAGAGAGAGAGAGAGAGAGAGAGAGAGAGAGAGAGAGAGAGAGAGAGAGAGAGAGAGAGAGAGAGAGAGAGAGAGAGAGAGAGAGAGAGAGAGAGAGAGAGAGAGAGAGAGAGAGAGAGAGAGAGAGAGAGAGAGAGAGAGAGAGAGAGAGAGAGAGAGAGAGAGAGAGAGGAGAGAGAGAGAGAGAGAGAGAGAGAGAGAGAGAGAGAGGAGAGAGAGAGAGAGAGAGAGAGAGAGAGGAGAGAGAGAGAGAGGAGAGAGTAGAGAGAGAGAGAGAGAGAGAGAGAGAGAGAGAGAGAGAAGAGAGAGAGAGAGAGAGAGAGAGAGAGAGAGAGAGGAGAAGAGAGAGAGAGAGAGAGAGAGAGAGAGAGAGAGAGAGAGAGAGACATATATATATATATATATATATATATATATATATATATATATATATATATATATATATATATATATATATATATATATATATATATATATATATGTATGTATACATCGTTATTAAACGCTCTGTGCAATTCAGGTAAAAGCACCGGCCAGAGCCAATACGACATCATATCGGAGTGATCGGATATAGTAAACTTCGCAGTAACTAAATCTTCACACATGCACACTGCGAAAATGCTGGAAACCTGGAGAGGGCCTCTTACTATGTGAGCCCTGTAGAGTTCAGGTTTCTATCCACCAAAAATGGTCCTACTCCGGCCATTGAGTTTTAATATTCTTTTGTATGCAGTTTGTGTATGGGAGAAAACTAGGCGTGTTTCATATGCAAATACATGGAGCTTGTCCACTTTCATCCGATCATGGCAGATCCGGCCATTTTAAGGCTAAGTACTTCGAAGAAAACATGGCAACATATACTAAAATTGGCTGTTAAAGACCATCAAAATCAAGCATAAGTTTGATTTCTGGCTTATATACGGTTAGCGGGTAGCTGATGAGATCAGCTGATGGCTGAGGACTGATACAGAGTTTTTCCTTGGTCTTTCGCAAGGGAATACAAAATATCCTGTCCTTCAAAATGTATTAAAACGCAACGAGCAAGTGTAACAATCGTCACAAATTTCATAAACAGCGCAAATAAAATGCACGACGTCGGCGGCGTGTAAAATTATGTTCGACAATGACAAGAACGAATTCATCGGCGTAATCAGCGTAGCTGCACATTCAGTTGTCGGTCGGTAAAAAGTAAAGCCCCAATAAAAAATGATTAAGATTTAGGTCCCCGTCAACGACGTAGGCCCTCCCATGATATGGAAAAACCTGGGACCAATAAGGACGGCACTTGAGCAGTCGAAACTGACGTGGCAGGCCAACAAAGAGGCTCCAGTGAGCAGTGAAGGGTCCTCATAACAAGCGAGAAGAACGTAACACCAATATGGTGAGACCCCTGAACGATCGGGAGCACCCCGGCCGGCTAACATATAGGGTCCGACCGGAGAACATGATCCCCTGAAAATGGCAATAACCGAGGATCGGTGTACATGAATTAACGCCCCTGTGTGACCAAGTGTCCGGGCAGGTAAACAGAGAGAGCGCTGACAACGGAAGTGAAGTGAAGGGTCCTCAGGAAACAAGCTCAAGAAGGGAAAGAGCCATATGCCAATGAAGGGCGCCCCTGAGCACGGAGTGCATCAGAGCGTTACCTTATATGGAGCCCAGCAACAGCACGGGGTCCTCCAAGCAAGTGGAAAGAACCCGATACCAATATGAAGGGCCCCTGAGCAACCGAGTGTACCTCGGTATTTGGGGCCCAGGCAGCAGCGGCGGGGCGAGAGAGCCCGTTCACCCCGAGGGCGCAGCGGTCCCTGCCAAGCTCGCGCCGCCTGCCATGTCTCCGGTCGCCCCGCCGCCCGGCGCGTCTGCGCCCAGGCCGTCGGTGAGCCCCGGGGTGCGGCTGCGCCCAGGACACGGCCGCCATGCGTCTAAGTAATCTATAGTAGCCGTGCTTGGCTGTGCGCATCACGTGATCATCAGTGGAATGCCAGGTTGACTGTGTCATCTATTGACAAAAGAGGGAAATAGCGGCAAGACTCAATGATGCTTCTGTAGTATTATCTAGCGCCAAGAATCCAAACTAGCCTCGTTGCCATGGATGCTGGACGTTTTGAACGCTAGACTTTACGACTCTGGACTTTGCGACTCTGGACGTTGCGTCTCTGGACCTTATGAAGGCCCCAATGGGCACGGAATTGGACGTTTTCTGGACATTATGAACGCTGGACGCTGCGATCCTGGACGTTTTGATGGCTTCCCGTTGCTGTCTGACACCGTCTGAGAAGAGCAGCACGGGGACCGAGGGGGATATTCCGGATTGGGGGTTTACCAAGAGAGACGTTTGGCCCTACGCTGAAGCCTGGACGGCACCTTCGGAAGCATACCGAGGTTGTATTGATTTGAACTGTTTTCTCGCGAGAAGTCTCCTAGAAGGTCTTGGCCCCCATACCGAGCGTAATAACACACTCGAGGCAACCAGAGTCCAGTCTATCTTTAGGCCGTTTATATTGTTAAACCACAAGTATGTACCTGATTTTATACTGTAACTGGGGCTCAGGCCTCAACAACCCCAGAGCTAGTTGCACCCATGTGCGTTAAGTCGATGTATATCATGCAACATGAGATCGCGCCGTTTGTCGCCTGGAGGGCACCGCATGTCATATGAAGTCAACACTGACGTTCCGAACATGGTATTTTGGCGTGTATTGTGATGGCGCGGCTGCAGACGCCGCCGCTCTTCGACGTATCACAATCCACCAATGATACATGTGCTCTGCCAATCACCAGCCAGGAATTGCACTGGGTCCGATGTACTCGGATGGGCAAATAACCAGCAGCTCCAGCGTATTTCAAGCTCCCGAAAATCAAATCCCCCCCCCAAAAAAAAATTAACCGCCGGCCGGCCGGCGCCCAATCACACAACTCCAATCGCAGTAAGCGTCGCCGGTGCAGTGTTGAACAGTAATCGTGGCATTCAAGAACGTGAGGATGCGTAGCCCCCGCGGGTGCTGATGGATCAGTAAAGGGTTGACGGTGGGCTCAGTCCCAGAAGCAGCAATCATTTTCCGTTTGCCTTTCTTTCGCACGCCTACATCGGCTCTTCTGGAGCATTTCGCAAACATAAATTTATGCGATGCTCGTGCTGTGCACAGTTCGGCCATTACACATACATACACTCCATGTATTTAGCGACGGCCGCAGCCTAGCCGGAACCTACGAGTCAACCGGGTGTGATGTGAACCGTGTCGATTAGAAAATCCCTTTAAAACAAAAAATGAATAAATTTCAGCCCTTTTTCGTTGGCTCTGTGTTCTTTGTTTTAATTGCGTGCGTCAAAACCTTGAATTATGATAATAGCCAATGCAGGGGTATTGTGGCCTTCACCTGGCCCTTTGCTTATCCGCACTAGGTCACTGTGTCCCCTCCCCCTCCCATCTACACCTCTGATTGAGTCCCAACTTTGAACCGAAAATGAGAATTTATGACGATTGTTCACATCGAGGCAATGGAAGGGTGCTATGCCAGACAGGGTCCTCAGTATCGAACGGTGTGCGCTCTGACCCAATTCCAGCATGGGCCTGTTAAGCCGAATTGGTGTCCATGTGCCACTTATTGGACTACCTCAGTTCAGGTGGGCGCTCCGCCACGCGCGGACGCGAGCGCTGCCCGCTCCTCCCTGATCCTTACGCTTCTGCCGGGGGCCGTCTGATAAACTGCTCGGGCACGCTCCATCTTTTGGGGCCCGCAGCTGAGGGCAGTTCATGATCACCCATAAGTCACTTGTCGTCCGACCCGCGTCACAACCGTCGCAGCGTCTGTACACCCGGGGTGAGGGCCATGAAGTCTCTCGGCCGTATCTTGCCGTACAGTAAACACTGCCGGCCGCCCTTTGCATGAACGTCGTGTCGCGTCGCGTCCGGCCCCAGTTGTGCCACGTCCTCGGACCGTGCCGCACCATGTTGCTGCCGCTGCTGGTGACGCTGCTACTCGGCCAGGCCTGGGCCGACCCGTCGCCCGCCACGATCACGGGCAACACCTCGTTGGACCAGGTGCTTGCGGATCTGGCCACCTTCTACGAGTCCACCGTGAGAGCGGCCACGGCCGCGGCCCACCAGAGCACGACCCAAGACCTGGACCACATCAAGCAGACCCTGGCAGCTCTCGTCACCCGGCTGAACTCCCTGCAAGAGGTCCAGGGCTCTGTCTCCTCGAGGCTGGACTCTGTGCAAGAGACCCAGAGCTCTGTCTCCTCACGGCTGGACTCGGTGCAAGAGGCCCAGGTCTCATTCTCCTCGAGATTTGACTCCCTGCAAGAGGTCCAGAGCTCTGTCTCCTCAAGGCTGGACTCGATGCAAGAGATCCAGAGCTCTGTCTCCTCAAGACTGGACTCCCTGCAAGAGGCCCAGAGCTCTATCTCCTCAAGGCTGGACTCCCTGCAAGAGGTCCAGAGCCCTGTCTCCTCAAGACTGGACTCCCTGCAAGAGGTCCAGAGCTCTGTCTCCTCAAGACTGGACACGGTGCAAGAGGCCCAGGTCTCATTCTCCTCAAAGCTGAATTCCATGCAGAGCTCGGTGTCAACTCGGCTCGACGCTGTGCAGGAATCCGTCGCAGCGGTATCTTGCAGACCGGAGGCGTTATTGGACGGTTTGGTAAACATTCAAACTGCTGTCAACCGTCTGCCATGTAAGAGACGTCGAGCGACTGTCTGCATTCGTAATCGGCCACGTCAATTCCACTCACTGTCTCTATTGAGCACAGGTATCTAACTTAAAGCTTATGTCAGGTAAACAACACAAAATTGCTTAAGCATGACCGATTTTGTGCGAGATTTACTGAGGTAATATTTCCTTCATTATGTCTACAAGACAGAACAACAGCAGCTTTCATTGATAAAAACGGCCAAAGAGGTCTCCATGGTTTTGTTGATTTTAAGATGAACTGTAACGTTCTAGCAAGGTAATATCAACAGCCGCATACCATAGTCAATTATGAAATACTGAGTGGTCCTAGCCCTTTCAACGTGAAGATCCTCACAACCGTAACGCAGCGTTGCAAACCGCTGGCAAGCACTGCACATTGTGCAGCTCCCGTTCACGGGCACGGAAGATGGCAGCCGCATGCAAAATGTCGGGGTCCCGGGTTCAAATCCAAACAGGTGTCATACCTTGATTTTGAGTCTTTGGCGTTGAACTGAGTGGGCGATTTTTGTTTAGCATACACGCTTTTTCACTATATATACATATATATATATATATATATATATATATATATATATATATATATATATATATATGTTCCAGCTATGTTCCGGAAGACTTATAATTAAACTATTTCAGATGCTGTGTCTGTTGGCCGGGGGTAAATGATATCACGACACTTTGGATAATTTTGTGGCAACCAAACCCACTGGTCACTGCCGTATTTGTTGCTGTTCTGTTGCACAACGCCCACTTCAATTCAGCACTACCGAACTGTTTCAATAAAATCGAAGCGACCTTTTTGCTGCCACTTCATGACTGCTTGCCTTTGCCAGGGAGGGTACTGGGTGACGCGTGCGAGAACAACGCGGACTGCCTCAGGGCAATACCCGGCTCAGAGTGTGGCAGCGACGGTACCTGCACGTGCACCGCCGGCTTTAGGCGGATCTCCAGACACAAGTGCCGAGGTCGTCTGCTGTCGGAGCCGTGCACGACCAACAGCGAGTGCCAGGTGAGCGGGCGTCACGTGTGGTGCTGGCGGTGGTGACCTAACCTAACGCCTTCCGTCTACCCCTTTTGACAGCATGGGTTTTAGATCAAGTGCTAGAAATAATCACCATTGTTTCACTATGCAGTGTAAGTGTTATACAGACGTGAGAACAGCGGACATTTGGCAGCTAAGCAAGCGATCTGAACTAATGATCCGTAAGCTGACGGTTTTTGTTGCAGTCTGCAGCAGGCAACATCCGTAGTGGTTGAAATCGTTCCCAAAATTGACCTGTTCATACACGCCATGCGTTGTCATGTTGGCACCCTTGGTGCAGCGGGCGATGCTCTAAACATAGGGTGCGTCTGCATTTTGTACTCCTCTGCTGGTTAGGTATTTCAAATGCGCTGAGTGTTTCCAGCATGTGTTTCCCTTGAAGGTTGACAGAACACCCAGAACAGCCCTTCCTTTACAGATTTTTAGATGTGACGATGTTCAATGGAGAGCCATGACACATGGTAAATGCAGGCCCTAAAAATGTACACATATCACGATTGACAGCATACGGTACCGGAAATAATGTTAGGTAAATGCTGAAGCATAATCAGTGGTAGCAAATCTAAACGATTTTCTACATACTGATGAGGTCATGCAAACCCGTCAATAATGGAAACACCACACAATAATGTGAATAGTGAATAGTGAAACGTTGAAATGTCCGCGAGCAAAATAAAAGCAAAAAATATATCTCCTACCTGTTGGGACTGCCGACAATAGCATATTATCATACCGAGCTTGTGTACTACCAGACGTTCGAAGAATGTAGATTATGTCCGGAATGTCTTGGTCCGTCTGTTGGTAAATTATTTAATTATGTATCTGCTGATTTGTTGGTTGCATTCCTATCTGTATGGGCATGACTATCACCCAAGTGATTTTGTGTGCGACCTAATGGTGGTGACAAATGGAGCGCGTGGAGATGAGATGACGCAAGCGACTCCGTCGGCCTCCTCAGCATCTGCACGTCAAGCCCAGTATCTGACACGTCCTGCCAGTTCGCTAGAAGTATGACCGTGTATAACAGCGTCACCCTCCCATGCCGCCGTTGAGTGCGTTGGCTAATCGTTGCAGGCTGCGACGGCACATTCGGTGTGCACGGACGGTGTCTGCGCCTGTGCGACAGGATACTGGAACCGAACTAACAACGAATGCCGGCCAGGTGAGAGCCCGACGACAACCCGCGTCACATCCACCACTGTGGGACGTGCCAGAGCCCGACGACAACCCGCGTCACATCCACCACTGTGGGACGTGTCAAAGCCCGACGACAACCCGCGTCACATCCACCACTGTGGGACGTGTCAGAGCCCGACGACAACCCGCGTCACATCCACCACTGTGGGACGTGTCAGAGCCCCACGACAACCCGCGTCACATCCACCACTGTGGGACGTGTCAGAGCCCGACGACAACCCGCGTCACATCCACCACTGTGGGACGTGTCATAGCCCGACGACAACCCGCGTCACATCCACCACTGTGGGACGTGTCAGAGCCCGACGACAACCCGCGCCACATCCACCACTGTGGGACGTGTCAGAGCCCGACGACAACCCGCGTCACATCCACCACTGTGGGACGTGTCAGAGCCCGACGACAACCCGCGTCACATCCACCACTGTGGGACGTGTCAGAGCCCGACGACAACCCGCGCCACATCCACCACTGTGGGACGTGTCAGAGCCCGACGACAACCCGCGCCACATCCACCACTGTAGGACGTGTCAGAGCCCGACGACAACCCGCGTCACATCCACCACTGTGGGACGTGTCAGAGCCCGACGACAACCCGCGTCACATCCACCACTGTGGGACGTGTCAGAGCCCGACGACAACCCGCGCCGCATCCACCATTGTGGGACGTGTCAGAGCCCGACGACAACCCGCGCCACATCCACCACTGTGGGACGTGTCAGAGCCCGACGACAACCCGCGCCACATCCACCACTGTGGGACGTGTCAGAGCCCGACGACAACCCGCGCCGCATCCACCATTGTGGGACGTGTCAGAGCCCGACGACAACCCGCGCCACATCCACCACTGTGGGACGTGTCAGAGCCCGACGACAATCCGCGCCACATCCACCACTGTGGGACGTGTCAGAGCCCGACAACAACCCACGCTGCATCCAACATTGTGGGACGTGTCAGAGCCCGACGGCAACCCGGGCCACATCCACCGCTGTTGAGTGTGTCAAGAATGCTGGGTGTCTCGCACGGCTCCCTCAAGAAAATTTCTTTGAGAACAGCATCAATGATCTCGTAAACGTAGGCACCGAAGGATGGCTGGTCGGATCATTCTGGAAGAGCAAACACTGCTCGCACCATGGATAGTGCAACAGTGAGCAGCATTTAACTCACTTTACTGAAAGATGTGTGCAAATCCTTACTCCACATTGCCGTAAGCATTTGAGATGTGGTTGCAATACCCGTATCCTCAGTGTCCAAGGCGGTGTTTGCACAAACTCTAGGAAATTAAGTCCAGCCCTTGTCTCCAGAGGCCATAGAATTATCTGCGCCAGAATCAAAGTCTTATTCTATTTCCAGTGCACGAAGCAAACAACTAATTTCAGGCGCTGATTGCTATGGCGCATACAGCGTAAAACCGCGCGAAGCCAAATTTGGCACCTCGGACTTGACGTGCCAAGCCCAGTCTTACCTATCCGTGGCGTATACGCGAAACGTCATCGTTAAATCACGGCACTGAGAGACGCTGCGCTGACCCATATATCATTACAGGTGTAAGCGCAGGCCAGGCATGCACCTTCGACCAGGACTGCTCCACGTACCGCTCCAACTTCACGTGCAACTCGGGCGAGTGCTCGGAAAGCGTCTGTCCGGGCGTCGTGTATGGAGGTTGTAAGTGGATAAATATGTACGCAGTGTCGCGCCATGATGCATGTGTCCAATAGTAGGCGTTATATTTGTAACAGAAGGGCAAACGTCTGCTCGTTCTTGAGGTAAGAATCTGAACGATGCGAGGGAACTCGGCCATTGTGTTTCCCCATGAGGGTCAGGCCAGGTCAGGTTCAAGATTGGACTATCAGTAGCCCACACGAACGATACTTTTTTGATTTCTTTCACAATGTGGTTCTGACCAAATAACGTCTATTAGGCGCAGCTGGGGGCAAAGGTATGCCAGACACAAAACTACAATTTTAGGCTGACTTAGAGGTCAGCTGGAGGTCAACTTAGGTCAAATTTCTAAACTATCGAATTGGAAAATTGAATTGCTAACCGGGTATATCAGGTATGTGAATAGTGCAATGCTTTTCTGCGGTAGGTAATTGTATACTGTATATCTGCAGGCGCTCAGCATCGCGTAACTGTGGTACGCGGTATACATAGCCCCTTCGACGTTTGACAATGTTGGTGTAACAAACTGAGAGTAGGTACATTTGTACATGCAATTGTGCACACCAGCTTCGGAAACACGACGTAGAGGTGGTTACACGCGTCACACTCGTTCATCTAACCTCTACGCTACTAACAACAGAGATCATTGACCTTGGATGACGTCATATGACCCGGCATGTTTTCATGTGACCCATTGTGGCCCATTGTGGCCTTATTTAGCATTGTTTTCAGCGCATCTCTCGAATTCTGTGCCCCAAATGGCTGTAGGAAACTGCCTATTTCTAGCTCATCATGTGTTTTACAGAAGACACCCATGGGCGTAAGTCATGACCTGGGCCAAGGTCAAGCGCTTTGTGGTCATAGGATGGTTGTGCATGCGAGTTAATACTATTTTCCTCATACACAAATACCAAAACTACACAAAAACACGTACACGTTTGAAGCGAGCTCTCTTTGCGCCCTGGTGGTAGCTCATTTCGTTCAGATTATATTCGCTATTCCGGAAAACTTCTCAACTTATTATTACCATCCCAAAACTTATTCGGAAACACTTCCCAGTGGAGACCAATGCCTCAGGTGTTCCAGAAGGATCCCTTTCGCCTTCACTCCCCCTTTCGATGTTCATAAGCGTTCTACTGTGCGTCACTCAGTCCGGCTGCCTTTTGTACGCCGAAGATGCCCGAACTTTTCGCCAGTTTGTGTCGTCATCTGACGTGCAATTCTGCACCTTGCCCTCGCTCGTACAAGAACATAGTCCGTTCGATGAGGATTAATGAGCAATTCTGTCAAACACAAATCGTTCATAATGACTCTTAGGCGCGCACTAATCCAGACAGAGTATTTCATCACTGATACATCGATGGGACATTTGGAGAAACTCATGACCTTTGTGTCCCTCGCAGGCCTCGCGTGCAGTTTTTCACCTTGACGCTATTAATTACAACTCGACAATCTGGTGATCAGGAAACCTCACATTGACTGCAATAGACGGTAGCGCACCGCGTTCAGCAGCAATCATTTAGTGGCAGAGGCAGAGGATGACGGAGTGGACATGTACGGTGCGCTGTTTCTGTACGCCTGTGGGCTCCAGCGAAGCTTCCTACCTGCAAAAAGGACTTCCTTTGTGCCGAAAGCCTGCAAAACTTCCTCGAGCGTCCGTGCGCGTGTATGCGTGTGTGTATGTGCGCGCGCATGAAATGCTTCCCCCCATGCGAACATGACGTCGTCGTTTGGACCCAACAGCCAATGAGCGACCTCCCACTGCGAGAAAAAAATATTGACGCTCACACAGCGCTTGACTTTCTTTGAAGCCACATATTACACTTTTAGAACAGATGATCTGAAGCAGTGGATCAGGCGGAAGATTTAATCCAGATTTTCAATGGTCTTCACACCGATTACACGTCTGCTGTGCTGCACTCGATGATTGACTACTGCTACTAAACGTCGACACGTTCACAACGGATTCCGTGGTTCCGTCATTCTGTGAAGGCGCGTGGACCGTGGGGTGTTGTGCTTTCGGCACGCTCGCTGCCAGCTTCGCGTCAGAGCATTTTGTACAGTGCAGTTTGCGAGTGAGGCCCTTTTCCAGCGACACATTGTGAATCGCTCACAAGCCTCCGCTCGCTCATGACAGCTCTTCGCGCACTGACGCCGATGATCGGTACGCTATGCGCAGGTTTATTTTCCCTGAATATGTCTCTATCCTTATAAATATAGCGGTTAGTTACGCGTGACATATATGATAGGAGCTGGAAAATTCATAAGCAATGAGGGTTATCGTTAGTAAATATAATGAAGAGGCCATTGAATGGCGCTGTGGTTGCGTCCATCCAAAATTGGAAAACTATGCCACGTGAGTACTGACGACGTTTCAGATGAGTACCGGCTGGCTGGAGGTGATTCCTGTGAGCAAGGCCGAGTCGAACTCAGACCCCTCGGCGGCACTTGGGGCTATGTCTGTGACGACGAGTGGGAGGATGTGGACGCTTCAGTTGTCTGCCGCACATTAGGATTTAGGTGCGTATTTTAGGTCTCTGTGGTTTTTAAACCCCCGGCACGTCACGGACCTCTTTTTCTTTTCGCAACATCATACGCTGCATTTCATGTCCATCGCCATTAAGCGTCAAAACTCTCACTTCAATTGCCCTGGCAAACAACGATGCCGGTGGGATTACTTCCATGCGTGCAACTGTCACCAAATTTTATGAAGCACTGATATGGCGGTGAATACTTGCTTCTATGTAATTTCAATAAACTACAAGATGCTTAATGAGGATTTCATGTCATTTTCAACATCACGCTGAACGAGTTGTAAACTACCGATATTAATGAGCTGACCAGTGCTGGAAACGATACATTAATTAGTCATGTATTCAGACGTTCAATACACTACAACTGTAAGATATGCAACTTAGGTAATGCATTTCGTAATCGCGAAAACTGCTGGACTAAAAGACCACTAATGTTTATTTTCAGCGGTGCAAGAGCACACTGCTGCTCCGCGTATGGTGCCGGAGGAGCCGAAAACTTCTACATGGATGAAGTCAGGTGCCGTGGCCCCGAGAGACACGTGATGGATTGTACCCACGACCCCGTGGATGACTGCCACCGAGGAGAGGTGGCGGCGGTCACCTGCAGTGGTCCCTAGCAGAACGCCTGAGCCTGAGGCTAGAGACTGAGGACTATAAAGACCAGCCTGGGCCCCGCTCTTAATGGGGAAACGCTGCCAGATGCTCCGCCTTTTCAGGTAGCAACCTATGACGTTGCACAGCTACTCATCCGCGCCATGGAGAACGCTTCAAGTAACTCCTAAATATGGCGGCTAGTAAAATCAGCTGTTTTCCAATAAACACACTTGACGCGCAGCAGAGATGATATTGACGAGTCAGGACAGTTAAATACAAATACTTCACGTGTATCTCTCGCAGCAGCTGCCCATACCATGACGACTTAACATTAACGAGAATATTATAGGCAGAGAAAGGCAAATCATCGCCCTTGACTCCGACATACGCGACATTACTTCAAGCGTTGCACGAGCGTCGCGCATGTATACTGAGGTCGTCCATATATTTTGTTACGCATGGTCGAGTTTTGCGCGTATTGTTGCAAGCAGGGATACAGCTTTGCTCGGAACACGTGTGCGGGGAGAAATCTCATGTTACAAGTCGCATGAAGGATAGTTCTATATATACACAGACGAACAACATCCATGGAAACATGTGACGTCAGGTTATGCAGTATATTCACACTCCAAAAACATTCAAGACAAAAATAAACTTTCCCACAATCATGCTGTCCAGACAAACTATGTTACAGGATCCAGAAAGTGACTAGCACATTGGTGCACACGCCGACGTAGCGGTTCTGGCCCTGCCAAAGCACCAACGTCGCGCAAACAAAACATAAAATTATTTACATCACGTGGTTCCAGGACATGATAACGAGGATTTCAAATCGCGGTCTCGTATCCACGCACATTTTTTCTCTCAAAATCTCTAGGCAAAGCTGGCTCCTTATTATGACAATCATGGCCAGCGCAGGGGCAACCAGAAGCGTCCGCTAGAAAATGTGATGCCTGCGCTGCAATATCTCGCCGAGCCAGTACCCCAACACGACGTTGGCGACAAGTTCGGAAGTTCAAAATCTGGGTCACACTAGTATCTAACAACATTTTGCAAATATGTTGCTACCGCGCACGGTGACGCCATCGCGTGGCCAATAGGAGCGCGGCCACATGGAACCATCGCAGGCTTTGCAGCGTGCGCCAGCTCCCGGGTGTGGTTGCAGCCATCGACGGGTTCTTCATCTTCATGGATGCACCCAGCAAGGAGATAGCAGTTGCTCATAATACTCATAAATATCGCCAAAACAGTACATCTACTGGCTGCTTGTGATCACCGCGGCGTACGCACTGATGTACTCCCAGGGTTCCGCGATCCGCCCGCGATTCTCGTGTTTTTTTCGGAGAAGGCCCCCCTCTGCTGCGACCTCAGGGAGCATCGGCGGCAGCTTCTCCCATCTAACGCACACCTCGTCGAGGACAGGAGCTTCCCCTTCCCTTCCCTTTCCCGGATGATCCCCTTCCCCGGAGATCATCACCCCTTCCCGAGACAACGATCACCTCAGCCCCACTCAGCGCCACTTCTACAGACCATACAAAAAAAAAAAAACACGTCAAAACTGAATGTGCTTTCAGCATGCTGAAAAACAAACTGCAACAACTAAAACATGTAGAAGTGAAAAACATGGGCAATGTGGCTGAGGTTATCATTGCATTGATCATTGCACCATGCATCAATCATTGCACTGTGCATCATGAGCATGGGGCAGGGGATGACTTGGTGCCTACAGAGCCCCATGAGGCAGATCCTATGGAGCTGGTCGACGTGCGTGCGCTGTTACATTCTAGCATACAGAACCTGCAAGTGCAGTGCATGGACATCACAAAGCGACAGCACATGGCTGACCACCTCATGGCAAAGATGATGCATGCAGCTTGCTCCAGTTAAATGTTGTAATGCGAAGATTGGGAACAATAAAAGCAGATCAGAAATAACAGTCCATTCATTACATTCAAGTCAGCACAAACACACTTTGGGAAACAGACAGTTAAGGAGCAGCAGGAGGTGTCTTTGGAAGGAACATAGACTGAAAAGCTTGGAGACTATCCACATCTAGAAACACAACAATTTGTGTACACCCAGTTACTGGGACTACTTTGGGCAACATACAGTATGGCAATTCCATTGTTTGATTGCCTGGTGCATGTCAAATCTCATCCACAGGTGTTCACATTTGACACATAACATTTTAAGAATTAAATGTTCACTGCCTTCCATAATTGACCGTTTAGGTTCTATTGTGAGGGTAAAACTTCATTCAAACAATACTTAGATACAAGATGATGCAGTGTTGGAAAACTTAATGTTTCCTGGTATAACGTACACCAGGAGATTTTGTACTCCAGTGTTGTGACTAGGTTAAATGAAATATTTTGTACTCCATCATGATGCAACAAGAACAGCTTTTGGAACAACTAATTTTACCTCTTTGTGTCAGGACAAAATAAAACCAGACGGTGCAACAGCTTGAGACTTGATGCCTCCAGCAGGAGCCATGTATTGATATCTGCAAGATCACAAATCTCGCATCCAACAGACTAAGATGCCCAATAGCGAGCAGCCTGTGTTGCCACCTAGGTATATGATAAACCATGCATGGAAATGTGAAAAATAAAGCGTGTGAGTGTTGCATGGAATCGCCTTCGAACATAACCGGGAAAAGAGAAAAGAGTGCAAGAATCACACCGGTCTGTAGATTAGCAAAGCTCTCTCTTCCTATGCCTTGCGCAGACCAACTCAAACTTGAACATGACTTAACCTACCATTGACGACGAACCTCATTTATTGCCAAGGATGCAACAAACATTCATAGAAAACCACACGCCCAACCACCAAACTCAAGCGGCTTCTTACCCGCGCGCCACCATTGTGTCATGGCGATGCAGATTAGAGAATCACTCGCAATTCAGAGTCGGAAACGTCTCAACTATTTAACAGCTTGCGCCCGCCTCCCAGCTCTGGTTGGAGGTTGAACATAGCAGAACTCTACAATTGGTTTTAATGTTTCGCCTCCTCGTGACTGATTTGTCAAGAGCATACATATTCTGCCCGCGCTCATGCCTTGAACAGATTTGTAAACATTTGGAGGAAAGCTGTATAGAGATGGGCATCACGAATATGAGGAAGGACTTATTTGTACTCATCCAGAACTGCGACGTGGTTGGGTTTTTGGCCAATGCCTGGCATCCGGAGTACAAAAATGTTACGGCAGCTGTGGATTTAAACCAAGTCAAATTTGTTACTGAAGGGTGTGAAATTAAAGCTGGTGATTCAGGTTTTACAAAAATACCCTTTTAAGTCAAAAAACGTTGTTATAAAAAGCCAAAAAACTGTTCGGAGACAGCCATATCACTCCAGCAAAAACACCAGGACACCAGAGTAACATGCATCTATAACTTTGGCCCGGCAAATTAAGGAGAAGGGTTTATTAGGACGAAAACATCAATTAATTGCAACATAAATTATCATATGTCGCAATGATATCGGTTAACGCGCGTCAAAATCCATTTATACTTTGCATTATCCACCGGAGTCAGCGGAGTGACTGACCCCGATCCCTTTTGGCCGGCCTGCACGGGTCTGTCAGGCATTGTACTTGCGCTGGCTCGGTAAATCGTTTAAGAGTGCTGCATGTCTCTATTGTTCGGGTGGGACGTGCAGGGCCTCGTGTGTTGACCGAGAGTGGGAAGGTGGAGGGCGTGAATGTTTAGATGTTCTTAAAACCAGTTCGCTGGTGGAGCGTGAGTAGCGTGACCGTCGCGGAGCGTGAGCAGCGTGATCGTGGTGGAGCATGAGTAGGTGGCCGTCTGTGGCGTGTTCATTTGCTTTTTTGTGTACCATTTTTGTCCGGCTGTGTGTATCGTACCCACCCCCCATTTTGGAGGGTGTATAAGCCCGGTGTGTAGCCACCCTCCATTTTGGAGAGTGCATAGGCCCGATGCGTAATTACCTTCCGTTTTAGAGGGTGTCTGCGCGGGGCCTCTCATAAATTGCAAACCAATGTATATTCACATGTGTTTCATAGTACAGAGTATGAAACTGCGTTGTTTCAGTGTGCCACGTTCAACACTGATGCTTCCTTTCATTTGAAGTGTTTTTACATAAATTGCTGTATATGATTTGTCTGCCTTACGCTGATGATACTGCGATTGTTTTCAAAAATAAAAGTGTTGTTGAACTTGAAAACGATGTCATTTCGCTTTTGCTTCTAATGACTTCCTGGTTTGCTGCTAATTTTCTTTCCCTGAACGTATCGAAGACATTCACACAGCATTACACTACTCTTTCTTCACATTTCCAACTAAATGTGCAAATTAATAATTCACCTATTGAAGAGCAAAAGAAACAAAGTACCTTGGTGTAATCATTGACAAATCTCCTAAATTTACAAGCCACACTCATATTGTTGCAAGCGTAGTAAGTAGAAATATTGGAATAATAAGTAGGGTTAGGTGCTTTATCGATAAAACAACGTCACATCTACTCTATAACACTTTGATTCTTCCTTATTTAAATTACTGCTGCTTGCTTTGGGGTATAAGTTATGCTTCTCAACTAGATCGGTCAGTAATTTTGCAAAAAAAGGCTGTGTGTCTTATAGAAAATGTGTATCCTCCACAAAGCTCAGAGCCAGTCTTTAAGCGATACAAAATTTTGAAATTATCGAATATTGCTAAATCCCAAATGTTAATTGTGGTGCACAAATATGTAACTTCACAGCTACCTGCATCATTCGATTTAATTTACAAGCTCTATGAATCAAATGACATGGATATGAGGCGAGCAAAACATTTGGGCCAACCTTTCTCTAATCGTAATGATAGACTATATACAGCATCTTGCCTTGGCCCTAAGCTGTGGAACGACATTATGGTTTCATATTTTCCAAGAATAACTGATATCCCCGTAACAAAAACCATCGTTAAGAACATCATCCGCAAGCATTTCGTAAATACATATTAACGTAACCGACATATTTGAAGACATTGCAGTCATTTGCGCTGTACGTATCCAACGCACTTCATAGTTAACCTCTTTCATGTTCCATAATTAATTTCTGATATAGTTAAAGTCATGCACATATACCCAAATTCACGGCGCTGGCTCCGGGAGTTCTCCCAGCAACAAGCTCTACTTAGCTGGGTGGACTCCCTGGACATCCAGCTCAAAACCCAACACGAAAATGACCAGGTAATTGCCCCTTCCGACTTGTGTTACCGTATAGCCCTTACTAACACGGTGAATTGAGTGGCTGTGGCTTATTGAGCGGCTATAGCGGGCTGTCATTAGCTGAATTTGGCTTATGACTACTTTAAGCCTTCTCATCTATGATTTTCCCTACCTATTACATAACACAATTCCTTCGGG